TTTGTGTACAGAATATATAATATATATATATATATATATATATATATATATATATATATATATATAATTATATATGATTTTGTCATTCTTTTCTCTGTGTGATGAGCCAAGTGGGCTTTCTCAGTTCTTCTTTTAGTTATTCCAAACAGGCAGTATACTATAAAAGCAACATTTATGATACACAAGGGAATTCTTAAGATAGGTATCAGGACTGATACTAGTCCATAAAATATGCCTGTATCAGATGAAATAAAGCCAATCAAAATGTAATCCTTTCTTTATTGTATTCTACACATTTGGGCCAAAAAAAAAACTTAAATCAGGTCATCCGTAATGATTTATATGAAAATCATTGAGCTGTTTATTTAATGACAAACTGTGCCAATTGCTGGCGTCATTATTAACTGTGGAAAAGCACTAACAAACACTGGTTCTGAATGGAGGCAATCAGCATCTATTACAAACCAGTTCAATTTGTTGACGGTGTAAACAGCACCTCTGCTTGATTGTAAACCTGCTCCAACCTCCATTCTTATTCTTGGATGCAGTCCTAGAGTATCTCACTGCTGTCTGCAGGTAAAACGCACTGTGAGATCAAGAAAATTACATGTTTGTGTTTCCACAGAGATATCCAACTTTAGCTGAATCATGTCGGCATACAGACAATAATTGTTGTCCATTTTCACTGAAGCTACCCTGGAAACTGTAATGCTTTCAAAGGAGTCCCATGACCTCTGACCTCAGATGAAAATGCGGTTACTTCTGACATTTTTCCGCATACTGGGGTCACTAAACAGTACTGGTATTGCATAACATTGGGTATGACTGGGAGGGTAAGACTCTTGTGGATTCAGTAAGCTGAATTGTATTAATGTGTGACGATGTTAGTCCCCATAGAAGCCATTTTATTGCAGTGAGGCCATAGTTTTTTAAAACTGGACTTATAAAATGACCACAGCCTCATGAAACTGTACAATCGCAAACTAGAGACCGAGGGCATCCAGAACATGGGGAAAAAATGCAATTCTTTCTATCTCCTAATATCAAAGGTTTTTGATACCAAATCACACGTTTTTACCCCCAGACATTCTCCACACACCCTGAGCTGGATGTGTGCAAGACAAACAAGCATGCAGTTTAAATAAAAAGATGAAAATGTGTGATTAATTGAGCATGGATTTAGCTTTTGTGTTCCTCAAGGTCTTGGTGTCCTAATGTGGTATTTTTTTGACTATGTGTTTCAATTTATCAAATCTGTGCAACACATGGTATTAGTCCTGAAATGGCTGCAACACCTTATGAGACATAATTGAGCATGGGGATGGCCATCATATACTTCAACCATGTTCTATGCCCATCTATAGTCTGCTCTTTCAATATTTGAACAAATGCCGACACAAAACACACACAAGCACTCTTCAGGTTCCTAGATTTCAGATAATGTATCTGCTATCTCCTCCTAAAGATCCTGTAGTACTGTCCAAAAAGACATACCAATTGCTAGTCACAGGGAAATAGTGGACATGCAAATGTCAGATTTCCCCTTTTTACTAAAGAATATGTGTATGCTGACCAATTATGTAAACAAGAGGGATACCATCTCCCCTTTAATCTCTTTCTGTTTGTACTAGGAGTAACCTCAAACAGAATGTTACACAAGTCCTGTAAGCTTTCTAGATACAATTTGCTTATTGACTGTTCAAACACTTTGTCCTATGTGGCAGAGCCAGGCAGAGCAGCCTCCCTAGAGACACTGTTCAGACTGCTTAGCAGGGATGAACCCTTTGGGGGACCAGACTAGGGCGCGTCATCATTATAGATGCTCTGGCACTTGCTGCCTCCACGTCAGACCTGTCTTGATTATGTCAAAACAGGGATTGATGAAGTCACACTTGAAGCAGCAGAGGGTAGGGTTTGAGTGTGTTGCTCTTTTAAAGAGGATTTGTTGTGGCAATTGACAGCAATGCCTACCCATTATAGCCATTATAACCATGGTATCACCATACAGGCTATATCTTTAACCTAGGAGAAAACATACTGCTAAAAAGGCATGGTCATTCATTTTTACTATTTTCTGATATTTTATAGACTGAATGATTAATTGAACAATCAAAGAATAACCAGCAGATTAATCAAGAATGAAAATAACAGGTAGCTGCGGCCCTAAAACGCACGCACGCACGCACACAAACACACGGTAACATTTACACATGTGGCACCACTGAAATGTCAAACAGCCATTAATTGGCAAAAAGCAGAACAGCTCAGAGAGAAATTGTATGCAATAAAAGAGGAAAACACCCCTCCAAATCCTGTTGACACTCTTGTATAAATGAGGCATCACAACTGTATCACAGCACAAAGTCATGATTCCCATCACCTTTCAATGACTCTACAGCTGCAAAGGTTTATCTCTCAAGGCCAAATTGTGTGACGTGTGATGACTTTCCTTCTCTTTCCCCCAGTCCCACCTCCAGCCGCTCAGTAATGGAGGATGATTCCATGACAAAATAGAGTTATTATAGAATTATATATATATATATAACGCTTAAACCAAACAGCAAAAGCCAAATATTTAACTTGATGATGTTCCCTCTGTATGTCACCTTTCTACAGGATGTGATCCAAGACCAATTAAAAACCTCTTTAAAGTCACACTGAGTAACCATAAGTGGATACATCCTGTTTCTGTGCTGGTATTTGGCTGCTTGGTGAAAATGCCATTTAAAGGCCAATCATTAAAGAAAATGTGGGTTTAACATTTGCAGTTGGGCTGAGGTGCCTAAGTGACTGGAGAAAGAAGAGAAAGTAAGCATTATTTGTTCTTCAGCCATACCTGGAGGACAAATGAAGCAGGGGCTGTATTTCATGACCAACTGGAATGTCCTGGTCATTCAGTCAGTGGGCTGAAACCTGTCTCATGATCTCCACTGTCACATCTGACCACGAGTTTCACACCCAGCAGCAGGAAATGTAAGTTCCTCAGTAAGGCTGGGTGAGAATCATATACTTTAGAAACATAATAACAAATTGTTCAACATATTTTTACCCCAAGACTTTCTCCATTCACCCTGAGCTGGAAAAACAAGTGTGCAAGAAAAACAAGCTGCAGTTGAAATAATCAAAATGAAAATGTGTGATTAATTAAGATGTGATGGTAGTTGCTAAGAAAGAAAAACCACTAACGCCTTAAACTGCAAACTGGCTGTGTGACAATGTGTGAAAATGTGTGCAGACTGGGCGAATACACTGTCAAACTACTTTTGTAACATTAACGGCATGACTGTCACACACCTCTCCCATTCAGTCCATACAGACACGCACACTATGAGTTGTATGCCATCTTCAAATCTAACAGCTGACAGTGATTTCTTAGTGACTGAGGCATTGGAGCTCCAGAGAGGAAGGAAGATGGAAAAGAAATGATTTTGCTACTGCAATTGTGTGAAATTTGTTTACCGAGATCCAAAAGGCAAAATTGAGAGTGGGCAAGCCATGTAAATGTCAACTCTGTTGGTAGGAGATTTATGCAAACTCTCCTTCCTCAGCCAGAGAGAAACACACAGGGACAGAGAGAGCTCATTTGGGTGTGGATTCATTGAACAACAAGTGATGGAAAGTTTCCGGGTTTCCCTCAAATTTGCCTTCTTTGTAGCCGTCTCTATTCCTACTACTGGGACAATCATCCAAACCAGTTTCTTTCTCTGGCTCACACAGACACGCACACACACACACACACACACACACACACGCACACCTCTTGAATCATTCATTAACACCACCAACACACCCCCCACCCACAGGTCTACCATATCACCTGCACACCCCCTCCCTGCTCTGCTCCTCAAAGAAATGACACACAGAGCCGGACCCCTCCCTGTGTGTCTTTTTCCACTAACTCCTCATCCCATAACCCTATAATCAATATTGTCCAGGCGGAAGAGGAAAGCAGAGAGTTCCTTCTCTCCCTGCCTCACAGAAACGCCCAGTAAAGTCAAGTGAGAGACAATTATACACCTGCTGCTCACAGAACCAACAAGCCCCTATCGGATTTCCACCGCATCAAAACCACTAAGCGTTTGGCAAAGTCACCAAGTCTGACATCACGTGAAGCCAATAAACAACCAAATCTTCCTTAGAGCCCAAAATATGTCATTACTGACAAAAATACTGGCTCAGTGTGAGAAATATTTAGCTCCGCACGCACAGCTCAGAGAGGAACATTCTTCCTCTCCTTAACTGCTTTTAAGAGAAGTCATAGTGGCACCGCTGGCATCTGAACACAGTAGGCGCGTGCCACTGCTTTCCAAATGCCTGTGTCAAACATGCTAGAAACTTCTAGGCAGAATATTGAACAAATAAACTGTACGTGTGAAAATGGTGTGGTTTTGTTTGACTGTTGTAAGGGCCACAGCCTTGCCTGGAGGCCAGTGGCGTAAGGTTGTTAGGACGGGCCCCAAGAGCTATTCAGAGGAGCCCTAGCTACAGTATATCTATGGTCACATGATCAAACAGAGCGTTGACGTTGGAGAACATCAACATACATATTACCCAGCAACCATCATGTATATCCGTATCTGACTAAATGATTTAATTTTTTTTTTATCTAATTGAATGTTATTTTATAGTTTACACAATCTGATTCAGGGGTCCTCACCCACCCTCTCTACGAGCAATGGGCCCCTGAGTAGGCCTACCTGTCTGTACTTATGCTCCTGCTGGAGGCCCCTGTTTCTAAACATCTGGAGGGAAATCTGTTAAAGAGAGATTCCCAATAATATATATATAAACTTTCAACCAAAATAGTGAGTTACTCTGTATATGCTGATTCATTTTTAAATATTAAGACTAAACTCTTAACACTCAGCAAAGACGACCCTTCAGGGAAGACCTGGAAAACAGGTTTTACTTCATTATCTTTTTCTGAACTCGCTGCTCTGAGGTCAGTAATGTAAGCCATAGATAAAGTGTGGGTCAGTTATCCCCCCGGCTCTACCTGTGCCTCGTCGGTGCCGCTGTCCCTGTCCAGCTCCCCGATGTAGTACTGCTCCATCCACCGCCGGGCGTTCTCCGAGTGCCGGTGTGGGGGTCCTTCCATTTCCCGACTCACATCCTTGCCCGACCTGCGAAGAATCAGCGCCTCCCCTCCCGGGTGCATCCGCAAGAAAGCGGTCACATCGTACACCCTGGTCCCGAGCAGCACCCAGCAGGAGTCCTTGGTGCAGTGGCAGGCCACCTCCCGCTCCGTGAAGACCCGGGGGGACGTGGACGGAGACATCCTGACAGCGGAGATGGGAAACGTCCACGTGAACCTAAAAGTGAGCACAGAGAGGAGAGCAGACAGACCTCCTCCGAGGGCCGTCGACCTGACTAATGTCACTGTGGAAGTTGGCTGATGACAACCAGAGGCTATAACAAACTTCAAGTGTGCAAGGGGCGGGGTCTGTGACTGTGAGAGATTCCTAACACATCGTAGATAGCGCACGGTTACAGCAGCATACAGGTGTTGAAAAACTTGAAACCTCTAACGAATGGGGGGTTGCTTTTGTTTCATGAACACGTCTTTACTCTTCCGAACACTTTTATCCACCTTAAAGCTTACAAAAGTCGACTTTAACGTAAGACATGATGGCTACCGGACGTTCCCTGAACGCGCCATCCAGACGCACCTGTTGCTTTGAAAACTGTCTCGGGGCGACAGTGAAGATAACTCCTCAAGTCTGCTGTGGACCGACAATTATCGAATAATTCAATTACATTCTAACAAATTAACATCTGTCAGTGTGTGTTATTCAAATGAACGTTCATTATGGACGTCAACGAGTGACATAGCTAACATGTAAATAACTGTCTTGTTGCCGTCATCACTTCCTGATCATCAGACATATGCCCGCTTGCTACTCTGAGGCATTTAATGTCTACAGCGTAAATCCAAATACTTGTAACTCATTGTACTAAACCTGAAATTGTCACTTTCTTTAACGGGAAATGAACCTTTTCTCAGCACTTGAGACAAAACAGACATTTTTGTGCGCTCACACGTCCCTGGTGGGTTCGTGTATCGTGTTCACAGCTAAAATGTTCCTGTAAAGTAAAGTACCATTTATAAAATACAGACGACAACATGTTCAGTTAGGTAACCTTACAAATGAGGGCGTACATTTGTTTACACATCCCTATCTGCTTTATCTCCACCGAACAGATGAGCTTAGCTGCTGCCTTCAGCCACCGTCGGAAATACTCCCTTCCACAGGTGAGCCCAAGATCAAGTAGCATAGCAACAGCAAAGAAAATATCAGTATTAAAATACTAATATTAATAAAGTTTGATAGGTGTGATGTTTATGGGTTTGGAGGACGTGGATGCTGAGCCAGCAGTTATTAAATGCAACCTACTGTGCAGGTTTGTAGCTAAATTAGCCTAAAGAAGATATCAGCTACAGACCTGACGAGTATGAAACTGTGCTGTTGGGAGGCCTGTCAACATAATGCTATTATCTCCGAGGAAAAACACGTTTGAATGCGCAACAAAAGAGCTAAATGTCCCGTTTAGCACTTCATTTGACAAGATCAGCGAAGTCACAGATTGGTCCTGAAGGCAGCGTGAGACCCAGCACTTGTCCACGAGCGCCGTCCTGCGTGTTGTGGTGAATATGCGACAGTGGGCAAACTGATGTGAATGTCAGGTATAACTAGGCACAGTTAAATTCAACATTCACAATAGTCATAATGTAAAGAAACACAGAAGTGTGGGCTATTACAAGAACTGGTGGCCCCACTTGTGTTGCTCCTGGAGTAATATGACAACCCGGTTCAGATGTTGGCAGGTTTGCAAAACGGCAGAAAAAAAACAAGCCTGTGACCTTCTGACAAGACAATTGACTGTGGACCTGTATGATAAAGCTTAGCCATAAACTCAAATAAAATGCAACCGAGGTCTACTGAACACATCTTAAAAGTAGACGATAGGCCGACGGCTGCACTAACACTTTCTAGGTGGAAAGTTTTACAATGCAAAACACCATCATGTCAGTACAGTCAATTAAATTACAAGTTAGAGTCATATAGCCTACATCTGGTACCAGAAAGTACTAATATTAAGTTTATGTTTTTTCTCCTGTTTTATGATTGTCATTGACTGTAAAGCTTAATGGAATTTTTTCTAACTTGCTGATTTATGTGGAATTTAGGTTTAATGAATGTTTTAAAAGAAATTGACACCGCTAACAAGCATGATGTTTGTCATTTATGTTGATTGTAAGATTTAATATAGGTTTTTTAATGTGTTGATGTGTTTAAATGTGAAAGCCAGGTAGACAGCTAATGGGGATCCTAACAAATAAACCTGGTTTATATAAGGCCTAATTGTCCCAATCCTGGTCCCATCTGACCACATCATTTGACTATATCTAATATCAGAGATAGGTCACACAATGGACCACATATTGTGTTATACTGTATGCAGAGCTTCCTAAGAAATGTCCAGTTTCTCAAAATAGAAGTTACTGTTTAGCCGTAGAGGATTTTATTTTACATTTATTTAGCTAGAGGCAGTATTATACTGTCTATGTACAACAACACATTGTTAGTTAAACACATTCACATCAGCGCATGTTGCTGTCAGTCTCTGTTTAATTTTAGATACCAGGCTTTATGTGCCTTGCTCAACAAAGGATGTGAGGAAGAGTCTCAGACTACTGGCATCAGCCTACATCTCTACATACTATAGCTCCACATGTGTTTAACTGTAAACAGTAAAATACTTACATAAGATTTTAATAATGATAGTATCGAACTGTGGTTTTCAAACTGGGGTCTTTGGTGGATAGAACTTTTAACTTTTATCACATTATTTGGAAACTGGAACAACAAGGGAAGAAATATAGGCTGCTTTCATTGATTGTAATTTATAGTGATCCCAGTTTGATCATTTGTGACAATAAACATTTTATTATCTTGAAACATAGAAAAAATAAAATAAAAATGATTCATTACAATTTCAGAAGGATATTCTCTCAAATTGGGGAGGTCTGTGATCTAATGTGCATCTATTATTGGGTCCTTAACATTTAAATGTTTGGGATCGCCTTTTATAGACTATATACATAGTACACAATACAAAGTAATACAGTGCATTATCTTAACACACTGCAACATTTCTTAACCTGTTTGCAGTAGAGTGGCATAAAAAACAGCAGGGGGCAGAAAAAGACCAAATGATACATGCAGTGAGTGGGCGATGGGGGTGTACAGGGTGATTTGCATGTGATTCACAGCTAAGTGATTATGTGAGCTGATTCTCAATGTGGCAGGATAAAGAGGAACATCACTTTAGTTATAGGTGAAAAACACATATCTGTCATTTATTATTGCATTTATAGAGACAGATGAGCCATAAATTTATCTTAGTTGCAGACAGTAATTTTTATGAAAATAACTTTTTATCATATTTGCTGAAACTTTCACTATATCCTGACAGTAGAACGTGAGACAGATAATCTGTGAAACAATCAGGTTCCTAATGGCATTTGCAAGAATCCAACAGGCCTGAACGAAAACAACCTATCACGCTTTGGGTTGGAGGCTTGAGGATAGATTGATTGTTTTGTCTCATTCACAGAATCCCAAAACATCTGTATCTGACACACTGGGAATGAGACTCAACAATCAACTATCTTTCTATGCTCTGATTGGTTGTTTTCTTCTAAATGCCATTAGGAGTAGGCAGGAGCCAGAGGACCTGATTGTTTCACAGATTGTCTGTCTAATGTTCTTAAAAGCTGTCAGGATACTAATGAAAGGTTTCAGCAAATATGATAAAAGTTATTTTTTATAAAAATGACCTACTGCAACGTTAATAATGAATCATTTATGTTAATCTGAACATTTGTGTATGCTAACACCGGGGGTGGGGTTCAAGTTTTAGCACACAAATTAAATCACACCTCTACCACACACTTATACCATGTAAAACATGAATGCCTAAGATGCTATCTTTATGGTTGGATTATTGGAACAAAAATGTCCCTTTATGTGTTTTAACTGTGAATTCATAGGAAAGTCCATGTAATTTGTTAGTAATTACAGAAGAAATGGAGGTAGTGTTCAATTACACTTCCAGTTACCTAATTTCAATAAACTGCTGGTGTACAGCAGGTGAGTTGAACATACAAAAATCTAAAATCTGGCAAACATACAAGTCAACGTTTCTGATCATGAATAATTAATGAATTAATTGGTACTTGGGTTTAATTGGAGCTTTTCCTTCAAATAAATTCATTTGGAAATAAAGAAATAAACTTAACACAACTAATATAAACTCACCCGTCTCAGAACTTGGGGTCCCAAGATAAATGTGAAGGGTAGCAAGATGATTTAAGTTTCTGTTTATTTACTTTTTGCCCTTTTCATGTGAAATACTGATAATGTTTAGCTTCGTTAAAAGGCCTGGGTTTCACATCAGCATTTATCACAGGTGGATTATGCACGACAGTGGTGGCAATAGCAGCAACTGTCTTGGACAGCGGCTGACCTTCCAAAGTCCAAATGTGAGGAAGCTATAGCTTAGCTGTGTTACACCATTCACTTTTATTAAAACTCCTTTACTAGATCATTTGCAGATGGGTATGAGACAGGAGATGATGGTACAAATAGTCTAAATAAAGTTAAATAAACTGTGTGGACTGTCCCTTTAGCGCCCAGCTAAGCTCACAATACGTTTGCTAACAACATTTTAGCAAGTTCACAGGCTCTGAGAACTTATTTTCTCTCTTCTATTTATTAACTTTTTATTAACCTAGCTTTTTTACAAATACCTAAAATTGACATGTCTTGTGCATCATTTTATACGGCTGTTTCCCTGTCGTTGAAGTTCTTTGGACATGTATAACTTAATTAGGTTGCATGTATCAGAATAATGTGTTGAGACAATGAGTTTGAATGATGTATGTGTGATGTGTTGGCAGTTCAGCCCTTCTCCTGTTTCTTTTCTTCACAACCAAGAAAACACACCAGAGCGAGTGTGTGTCACACATCTATTGTCTCTTCCCATCAGTGATATGTAATATTGTACTGAATGACGGTATGTAACGCGCCGATGCATCCCATTGTTTGGGCAAGTCACCTTACACTGTGTGACGCCTGCTTCACGGCCTTGTATTGTCCACCTGTTCTCTCTCTATCACTATCTTTTTCTCCTCTCTTACTCCCACACTGTCATCTCTCTTCTTTCTTGCCATCCCACAGTTCTCCCTCTCTTCCCCCAGTCTCTCTCATTTATCTTGCTCCCCTATGTTTTTCCTCATTCTCCCAGAATTACAGCTGCATCTAAATATACCCTGTGTAACAAAAAGAGTCGTCAATAATAGACTGCGTGTCAGTGCATGTGTAACCTGAGGCAACAGGCGTGTGTGTATGTGTGTGATGAATGTGACCTCACTGTGGTGATGTCACAAGTAGGCGGGGGTTATTTAGCCTCTTCTGAAGAATGATTGGCCCATCATCTGGTCTGGTCATATTGGAATGTATAAGAAGGCAATGATTCCCAGTCTGATGATTATTTCTTCATCACAGAGCTCTACCACTCCTCCATGGCTACTGTCGTTCCTGTAAGTATCTGTGTGTGTTTCTGCATGTGCATGTTTGTCTTCAAAACTGTTCAGTAATCCGTCATAGAACCACAAGGTTTATTTTAGTGTTTGCACTAATTGGAAGTAGAAGTAAGTGTTGTTACATTCATGCAGTGTGATGCACCATTATAATTGTGTCTTAAAGTGATTTAAATGCAATCAGGCAGCACAGCAGTTAAAAGCAAACGCAGTGGAAGTGACCCACTATGCTGAAAGTGGAAAGTTCAGTATTTTGGCAAACCTGTATGAGATATCATCTCATTCATACACTCAAAACTAATGTTTGTAATCAGTCTAATTGGTCAGATGTAATGGAGAATACTGTAGGAGAGATACTGAGAATGTGTGTGTTTGTTATCAAAGCTCCTCTTTTCTCTGTACAAGATCATTTTAAGCCGGTCAGCTATTGTGTCCGTGTGTGTGCAAGTGTGTGTGCGTGAATGAGAAAACAACTGTTGGGAGGCAAATCGACA